TGAAATGAAGGAAAAGGAAACCGGTAAGTGAGCCTAGATTTGTGAAATTGAAAGCACATGTCTGTGATTAAACTGAGAAAAAAGTTTGGAGCCCATGTAACCCCTTGGCAATTTCATTTCAGGTGGCCTCTATGCAGTTTATTAACATTGTAGTCCATTCAGTAGAAGACATGAATTTCAGAGTTCACCTCCAATATGAATTTACCAAATTAGGCCTGGACGAATACCTGGACGTGAGTATATCTGTAGCCTTTGGCTCCAATATAAGAACTAATTCATTGCCTACCCTCAAAAGGTGCACTTCCATAGTGGCTAGAGAATGCTTAAAGCTCTGTGCAGTCAACTACTGTCGTGCTAGTTAAAGGGAACCAATCTAAGAGACACAATCTGCCAGAGAAGCTGGATTCTTGCAGCCCTCCTGGCCGCTCAGGCTGTCTTTTGCCAGGAGCCTTTTAGTGCAGGAGTCAGATAACCTCTCGTAGCCTGGCTGCAGCTTTCCTCTGCTTTCGAGCTGTGTCTGGGTCAAGTCTCATTGCGTCCTTCATCTGGGCTGTTGGGTAATTTGCATTGCTGGTTACTCTGGGGACCCCATCTGGTCAGGGAAAGGCAAACCCAAACTGCTGTAGAATGATGAGTAAATGCTTAGAGCATAAAAAAATGATGAGGAAACGGATACTAGAGACTTCCTCCTGAAGCTGCTAAATTCTGCTTAAATGTTTGTGGCTTTAGAAGTTCCACTTTTAGTTCTTGGGAGAAGTCGATTTAAGTTTTTCTTTTTCTTTCCCCCTTGCAAAAGTGCTCATCCTGTTCCGAGTTCTTCAGCTAGGAAACAGAAAGTTGATGTGAAAGTCATAAATGGACTTGGGTAGCTGTGTGTGTGTAGGACGTGCCCTTATCCTTTGACGCTCAGGCAGTGTTTGATTTCCCTTTTGTGTGGGAATGGTCTAGTTGAATTTGGAAGACCACTAGCAATAGGGCAAGCATTGTCGAGTTCAATGTCAAGGCTGTTTCTAGCTGTGAAGAAGACAGAAGCATTTCCCTTGGACAGCTCCAGAGTTCAGCTGCCCGTCTTCATTAGGGATAAAGTCAGGGGACCACACAGACGTACGCTCTATTTATTGGGAGACAGAATCGCAGAGTTGGTTTACTCTCAACCTGATGGCCTTGCTTACCCTACTGGCTGGGCTTCCCTTGAATATACTGGCCCAGTGTTGTCTAAAAGCTCTACTCAGGGAGAGGCACAATAGATTTCCATTAAAGAGTTATGTGAATTGTTTTCCTATTTTATTTATAAGACTCACTGATGTCATTGGCAGAAGATTGTATTGAAAGGTTTTTCCTGCTTTGAGATCAAAGTTTGTCTATCCCGTGTTCTCATATGCTCCAAGAGTAGCAGTATTTGAACAAAAATTGGCTGTACAGATTCCTCCTGGTGTTCTGGGTTCAATTTGTGATGTCTGGGCAGAGCTTGCTTTAGGTTTCAGATTAGAATGGCAGATAGTAATGTATCAGTGGACACCTGTTATTTATTATAAATCTGGTGAAAAATCCCATTAAGTTTCTTCTCCATTATCTTTTCTAGCCTTTGTCCTATTCAGAAATGTTTTTAGTTCTGACTCCTAACCTAAGATGGAACATACTCTCTTCAGAACAAGCTAAATTGTGGAACTCCAGATTAGACCTAGGAGAAGATTCGTTTTCCTGAGAATTTATGTAGAGTGGAATTTCTCTTAAAAATTTAAGATTTTTTTCAAAACTTGGTATTTTCTCTTTTTTAACTTCATGGTGTGTTGGTTCTGGACCCTGATTGATAAAGGTGGTTAGAAGAACAATATTATAAGCATATGATATATAAATGCTTCATTAGTTTTCAAAAACCCAGCCTTGTAAGTAGCCATTGATTTGTTCAATAAATGTTTATTGGCATCATCTACGTGCCTAGTGTTATTCTAGCTGTTCTCTGTTCCCCAGGGAAAGCCATGACTTACAGTACTTATCGGGAAGGTCTGCTGATTTATTTGGCCTCTAGTGTCAACTGTAAAGCTAACTGAACCCCTACAGAATGCCTAGTTTGGGATACAGTGAACTGGGGAGAGCCTTCGGATGGACATTGACTTAGGGAGGAAATCGTGGAGGGTGGGCTCTAGCAATTTATGCAAAAATAAGCCCCAAGGCTAAGTATAAACTAGCAGTGTCTACCCCACCTCCTACCTAACCCTCTCCTCCCACTGGAACCACCATCACTAACCAGGCAGAATACCACCCACTCTGATCTCCTCTACTATACAGACACCCTCAAGTTTTATGTTGCTGGTGATGGTTCCCTTCCAAAGCTGCTTTTAATTTTCTGTTGTCCTGATTTCACCTATATCAAATGTTTTAGATTGGAATATAATTAGATAGAGCAGGAAGGATTAGGGGGAAAATGTGTTTGGGAGAGGGTATTCACCAGAAAGTAATCTGATGGTACCCTCTTAGGCAGTCACTCTTAAGGAAGATGATACATTAAACCTGCTCTTGGAAAAGGCTGGACTGTTTGGAACAAACAGAATGTGTAGGCTTTTGGGAAATTATGTTGTTTTTCCACAGGAAGCTGACAACACATTCTCTCGCATTCTGATTTTTAGAAGCTGAAACACACGGAGAGTGACAAGCTGCAGGTCCAGATTCAGGCATACCTGGACAACGTGTTTGATGTAGGAGCTCTGCTGGAAGATGCCGAAACTAAGAATGCAGCCTTGGAGAGGGTGGAAGAACTGGAAGAAAACATCTCTCATGTAACTACATCTCAGAAAAGGAAAAATTGCTTATGTTTCAACTGAGTGCAAAGCAGAATTGATGTTAGCTTTCATGGTGGTATATTGAAGGTTTTGGAGTACAGGAATGAACTGTAGCCTGGGGTAGAGAGCTATCAGAAGCCCTTCTGTGTATGTGGGGGTGTCTTTCAAAGAAGGCAGGTGTGTTATATAAAACCAAGTAGAATCCATTGTGTTGCCATAGCTCACTGCTCAGTGTCTGCTGAGTCACAGCCTAGCAATCTTAGTTACAGGTGCAGGGGGAATTTGGTGATTGGCATTACCTAAAAGAACAGAGGGAAGTGAAATGTGGGAATTTGGCTTGAGGTAAAGAAATGTTTTCTGAATATGAGCCCTCACATATGTCCACACAGGCCCATAGCAGGATTAGCTAGTGTCTCTGGGATGCATGTCTGAACATTCCTGTCTTACGGTTACTCAGATTCTAAATAGATTCGTTTCAGCAATAGGTATTTTCAAGGAAATCAGTGTGCTTTCTCATATATCCTGTTCTTTGAAGAAGGATATCTTCTCGGTATAATGTCAGATCTCTGTCAGGACAGGGGCTCATTTCTCTTTGAGGGACTTTTCTTGCCAGAGACCAATTTGAATATGAGTCTAAAGCCCTATAGAGGTTGTTCATTTGTCCATTCATTAAACAAATATTTCAATATTGAAAGAATGAACGGAAGAATGATGCTTCTCAAAAACCCAAGCATTTTGAGGACCAAGTTCATTTGATGAATTCTGATTGGCACTTTCCTTGAGTGTGGAATGAATTGTCTCCTTTCAGAGGAATATTGTTTTCTCCTTTGAACAGTCCATTTACTTTCTTCAACATGTTCTTTTAAAGAGTACTGCATGTGCTTAATTTCCTTCACCTTTTCCCATTACTCTGGAAATAGGAACATTCACGGCTGTGGTTAGGCCAAGTTGGTGAGCCAGAAACCCTCACTCTGTCAGCGCTGCAGTGACCTACTTGGCATCTGCTTAAAAAGAGAAGTTACAGGCCCAACATATCTTCCCTTAAAAGATTTGTATTATGTTCTGAACCTGATCAGTGTAAATCTCCACTCTTCCTCCTCACCTTGCCTCCCTGACTTCCTTCACTCATGATCATTTTCAGCGAGATGTTAGAAATCAGAAGTCGCTTGATTTTAGAGCTTTATGCAAAAAATAACTGCTTAACACAGGGCTCACTCTGTCTTTCTCTTGAAGCCTTTGCCGGCATTGCATGACTATACTTATATATTCATTTTTATAGCAGGCCACCTGTTTATTTGAACTTCTCCTCCAAATAACTTTTATTATTTGTATAGTTTGGGTCGAAACAAGCAGTAGTATATTTTCAACTGGCTACTTAGAACGACAGAACCAAGTTTTTTGGATGAACAATTTTCAAAACCTTTGCCCGATGGCCCTTTCTTGAGTGGGGGAGGGTTAGACGTCCCCTTGTCCCTCCTTACTGTTCTCCGCCCTGGCCAGCCCCCTCGGAAATGGAAGGAGGCACACTGTGTATGCTGAAACACTAAGGAGCTGACATATGGATTTTATTAAGGATCATGTATAAGTTATTAATTCCTGGTAGAAACAAATATGTATTCAGAACCATATTATAAATATTAACATTTCTAGAAAACAACTTGCAGAACACATGCAGGATTCTTGCGGGCCCCTGATGATCTTAGAGCGACGCTTTCTGAGAGCCGAGGGCCTGATCAGGATGATCCTGTGTTGTGACACAGCTTCCTTTTTAAAATTTTACAGTTATCTGAGAAACTGCAGGACACAGAAAACGAAGCTATGTCCAAGATCGTGGAACTGGAGAAGCAGCTTATGCAGAGGAACAAGGAGCTGGATGTTGTTCGAGTAAGTGTGATGATGACAGCCACCCCAGATGGGCATTGCAGGGCATGTGCTCCAGCTTAGTCTAGTTAAACATGGATGCATTCATTTCAGAGGAATGCATTGATGCAGCATATTTATTGGAACCATTTCAGAGGTGATACTCAAATGAAAAGTACACACAGGCAGGGTATGTATACACATGTGTGTGCAATCAAATACTGGGGGGTTCAGTGTTTCCTTATCACAGATTTTGGGAGCAGCAATGTTTTCCCATCTGGAGGAGGCTGAGTTGATTCTGGGATCACCCATTTGGTTGGAAATAAAAACACAGCATGGATTTAATTCATGCCACTTATTTATTTTTATTAGGGCTTGGGCTTCTTTGTATTTTTCTGCTTTGCTTCCACTCAAAACCAAATTTGGTGGTTGCTGTGGAAACAGTGAAGTCACAACACTGGCTAGGCCTAATGGCATTCAGCAAAAAACGGGGGTTTTGGGGAGAAGGCAAAGCAAAACCAATCCATTTTATTAGCAGGTAATCGCAGCTATTTGGCCTTAGTGCTGTTTTGCTTTATGTGTCAGGTATTTATGGAGTGGCATCCGTGTGCTTGGAATTGTGCAGAACATAAAAACACCAAGGTGCCTGGAGGGCTTTTGGGCAAATGGCCTGCCTTTATCCCACCGTTAATGAAATGACACATTTTATGTGATGGTTATCATGTCTGTGTGTATTGCCTGGTATTCTGATGTGTCCTACAGTTACGTCTAAGAAATTTATTTCCTGGCACTCCATCGAGACAAAATTGAAGCATATGGATTCAATTCAAGTTCAGATTCTTAGATTATTAATAATAGACAGGGTGTGAAGAATGTTTCCCTGCCTGCTGGAGGTTTGTGGTGAGAGATCACATGTACAAGGCCCAGCAAGTAAATTCAGTTCCATAAAATCCTTTCACTAGAACCTCTGTGGGCCCCTTATAAAAGGAACCAGGACAGCCTTTGAATTGAAAATTGTAACTTCTTTGTTTCCTGCTAATAAACCTAGACATAAATAAGTGATTAGGAGAGGGAAGCTTTGGCCTGTTTTGTTAACTGCATTACCAAAGGGAAAATGTTAACAACAATCACTGTCCTGAGCTTGGTCAAGGGGGCATTGTGAGGGCCAGAGGATCCATTGAAGAGCGGTCAGCCCCCGGTTACTCATGAGTAGATTATTCCATGCCTTGCAGATTTTTAATCCCAGTCTGACTTCTATCCAAGTCTGATTTAGGGCCCTTTTGTCTACTGTTAGCTAATATGTGTATCTAGGATATTCAATGAACAAATGAATTTTAAAATAAGTGAAAGGAAAACATGCTGTACCACCAGGACACACCCAGGACGTTCCAAAGCCAGGTTTTGGGGTCATCTCTGCTCTGTTTCTTTTCACCTGCAGGTGAAATTAAGGTAGTTGCGTTTATTAAACAGAAAGAACTTGGTTAACAATAACGATTGCTGGAATATTTTGCATGCATTACTAGTATACAATTAATAATTAATGGGGCTTCATAGGTTCTGGCTGAGTTCCATCAAATATTCCCATGT